GTAATACTAATCGATCGTTTATTTACCGAGCCGCTCGGCACTTCCGTGATCCGCGGAGAAGCTTCATTTTCCGGTTTCCCGCTACGACTTCCTGTAGCATGTCCCGTCTGTCTTGAAACACGTCCAGTCCAGACTCGCCTTGCCGATGACTTTATGACTTTCGAATCGTGAATACTTTAACCTTTCGCGCGAGAGGGAAATTCCAAAAGTAAATCAATGTTGAATATCTCGATGCTATAATGCTAATCGATTGTCACTGTTAATGTTGAATATTTCACTTTTAGAAGTAAAAAAAATCACAAAACCACAATTTCTGTCTATTAGTAAATTATGGTTCGAGAAATACGATTCACGATTTATAGCGTCGCGTCATTGTCGAGTTTCAGTTAATGACGAAAGACTGTATCTCCGGGTCTTTTTCGAGGAAGAGCCTAGACGAGGAGGGAGTCGTAAGCCCCAGCAGCTGGCGTCGCGTTCGCTTCGAGGTCGGTCGTACACGAGCCGCGTGTTTCGCGGCTGTTTTCTTTAATAGAAATCACGTGTACAAATGTCTTCGAGTGCTGCGCGTGTTTGAGAACAATGAATAAACAAAGAGAAAAAAAGACTTAACAAAAAGAAAAAAATCGTGCAGTATCCTAGAAATGCGTAGCAAATGGTTTAAACAATAGTAATTAATATTTGTGACTTTGTCCAGTCGTATCTTACAGAACAGCTTCACTTGGCATTTAATCCAGGAAGAGCTGTGAGAAGCATATACGTTTACAAGCGTCCATTTGCATACGCTGTCCGACAGATTGTCCGACAAAAGCATTATAATAAATTGTACTGCCGAGAGACCAACGTCAAATAAAATAATAAACTGGAATGTGTGTTAAGTGTAGAAACAAGACATTTATGGCAATACGTTAAGTAAAGCGTATTCGCGAGAAATAAATGACTCTGACTCTATCTATTTGCAAATTTGCAAATTACAAATTTGTACAAAACTAGGACATAATTTACAATTTATTGGCACGTATAAATGCGTAACTTGTTAATACATTTCCAAATACATACAAATATTTGCGATTGCATCAATTGATTACAAATACTTCGATAACCTAATAAACGTAACAAATATTTTGATAACTTTTGCAAATTATAAATATTAATTTCGTGCAAATATATCTCTAAATTAAGATTAATGTTAACACGACTGCAATATATCTTGTGTTCGGTGTCTCGACGCTAAATGTCTACATTCACTTTCGAAGGCATTTACGATATCGCTTATTGTTCTCTTAAGGTAGAACACTGTATTTAGCGCGAGCGCGCGCACGAGTACATCTTAATTATCCTCGAATTTTTCCTGTCCGCGCGTAGACGCGTTGCGTGTTGATTGATCCCAGGCCGCATTAATCAGACATCATTCGACATGTCGACGAGAGCATTGCTCCAAGCTCCCGTGGCGCGCTGAGAAATCGCATCAGACTCGCCGGAGCGTAGAGTAGCATAGCTGCGGTGGAGGTGGAGTATATACGCTCGCTCTCATTAGCCGTGGTGAGCGCTCGACATGGTGTGGCACCACCACCGCCATCGCCGCGTGGCATAGGTGGTAGCTTCGTTCTATCGACCGAGCGAGCGGCTCGGCTCTCTCGTCCCGTGACCTGACCTCATCTGAACCCTCCGCCGTTGCTGCTGCTGCTGCTGCTGCTGCTGCTGGCTGCGGCTCGTTCTCCTACTCGCTCTTACCACCTCGCTCGCTCTAACACAATCACCTCTCGCGGCATTACGGGCAAGCCGCTCTTCTCTTTTCCCCCGGTGCCAACGTCGTTCCCCGCCCTCGCTCGTGTCCCCTGTTCACCACCCGGCACTTTCTATACGATATTAGCGTGCTCGAACTGGAGCAACGCCCCGAAACTTGCGAATCGTGTAATCCGCTTCGCTCGCGCTTATCTTGTGTCCCTCTTCTCTTCTTTTTCAATTTTTATTCCCCTCATTTATCTTCTCGTTGTACTTGTTGTTTGAATTTCTCCTTCTAGTCTCTTCATATTATATATCGGCGCTGCTACATCTTTTTTTTTCTTTTTATTAATACTCTTCTGACAATATGATTTCTCTTGTATCAATTACCAGTATTGTGTTTCTTTCTCTTCCACGATTGTTTTTCCGACCGCGTTATTTTGCCACGATGCAAAAAATTTGCTGAATACATGCGTTTGCAGCAAAGAGCCGTAGCAGTGGGTATTCCCTGACGTAATCGTGCGATTTAGTTCGACTTGATCCAGCAGCTAGATCACCGCAAAAAAGTTAATTCACTTCTGTATTAAATGTCCCCGCTTCTTTATAGCGACTCGGACAAATCCCTGGAACGAATCGAATGTCTCAATTTGTGATATTGAAGCGGAATTAAATTCAGAACAATGTCTGCTGTTATTCATTAGTCATTAATGAATTATTAAATATACTTCTAGAAAAATATATTGTAACTATCTTATCACATTTTGATTACATTTAAATTCAAATTTAAGTTCTATTTAATTGTGACATAGATATAACGACAATTATGCCGTTTTATCGCTTGATTCAGCTTTAGTTTCCTGCGAACAAAGATCGTTTTCGAAGCGACAGCGAGTTGAAAATCATGCTTTAAGCGCTAAATAATCGCACCATGTATGACGCGACCCTCAGTCACTGGATTATCCACGCGCGATTGCGGCTGACTTACATTCGCGTAGTTCTCCACACATTCAGAAGTTTTGCGCGCTCGTATCATCGGCAATAAGGCAGTCATAACTATCTGTATTACATAGCACGTTCTCAATTTTACTTATCTACGACAGAAATTGCACTGAATTTCGCAGACTGGGATATACATAAACGCCGTCCAATTATATTTCTCAGAGAATATCCCCCCATTCGACGAAGCACGAATTTACGAGTTAAAGTGATCGAACTTTGTCTTTAAGCACACGAAACTTGGTTAATTTCAAGTTTCGCCGAGCGAGAGACAATAAAACCGAATGAGCGGAAAACGTGTAAAGAACAAAAGCATAGACACGGGTTCGAAAGCAAAGTGATCTTCGTATATGTCTGTGTATTAAAGTGGCGGATAGTCTTTAATAATAACGGCAAACAGCGGAAAGACGTAGCATACGCTGACAAAAGAAGTAGAAAGAGTGGCGACCCATTAGAGGGTAGGTATATGAGACGCGACCCTCATGCACATTGCGGGGCGGGCGGAGCTCAGGGTCGTTTTTCAAGGGGGTCAAGGGGAGCGAGGAGAGCCTGCGCCCCGAGGCCACGCTTATTAATATCAACTTCTTTAACTGAAGTTCGAAAACGTTCAATTTTCCACGTACGGCTCTCTTTTCAATTGTGAGGTAATTTGAGTGATAGCTAATCGTGGTAGACTTCACTGCGAGCGAAAAAATTATCTTTTAAAGCAAAAATAAATTAGATAATTTTGCATTCATTGATTTTGATAATTTTGTTTCATTATTCTAAATCAATTTTAAGACCCTCTTTTTATTTTTGCTTCGTGGTTCGGCTCAGATTTCAATCAATTTTATCGTACATTCATAATACGTTTTATACGTTTCATCTATAAAAGCATATGCGAACATGAAACGAAACAGACTTTGTGTATAAATCGAATAACAATCGGGATGAGATAATGAAATAAACTTATAGAAGGTCGAAAAAGAAAGTGAAACGAACGATTCGTGAAACGACAGTTGAATTGAGAGAATAGCGTTTCGTGATTTTTAGTCTGCGTTTTCTATAATTTTGCTATTGTTTTTGAATAAACTTTCTATTATTTGTATTATTGTACAACGCAGCGGCTTTTGCGCGGACTATATTTTCTCTGGGATTAGCATAACTCTTTCGATATACACACACCGGATGTTCTTTCGCGGTGTGGTTAACCGTCGAACGCGTTTTGGCCAAAATGTATTCCGGTTTCTCTCCCAGCATTATCGTTCTCACAATGTCACGACCGTCGTGCGTGATTCCGGCACGACGTCACGGTCCCATTGACGCCGACCCCTCCGAGAGGAAGGCACCTTAAACGGGCTCGTAAAACATTTTCGTGACCCCTTTTTCACGTAATTCGACGAACAGTAGCAGGGCAAACTCTCACGGTTTCCGGTGCCATCGAAAGCCATCGATGCCTATCACATGTACGTTGTATGCACGTGTTCGAAATGCGTAAACTAGTCTTGCGTATTTTGTATCTCGAGCATAGAAGACAATTAATTTTTATCGTCAAAGTTTAGAAAACGTATTAGAAAGCATCGGTTGTCCATGTTTCAGTAACGACTTGTCGCCGTAATCCAAAGTGAGAAATTGTTTTTTCCATTCGAAGAGGGATTTTATGTGTCGAATGAATAGTCGTACGTCCCTCGCGTACTTTCCATTTGGAAATGTATAGACTCTCTCGTCCTTGAAACGAAAGATACGATTTATTTTCTCTTCCCTTAATCCTCGAGAATTAAGATAAAAATGCGCCTCTGTTGAAAGTAAGCTTTCAAGGTTCTTGTTATTTCTGTAATAAATTCTTTTCAATCTTTACGTCAACAGTTATCAAATTTACCGATAAGAGAGAATTACAACACATGCTAATTTCTTAGATATAAAAAATAAGTCGGCCGGATTCTCGTGTTTGCAACCCTCGTTTTCTACATCTACGATAAGCTTTCAAAGCTGATGAAAGATGATCCGCGTTACTAAACGATCTCGCAATTTCACCAAGGAAACGGCATTTAATACAATTTCGAAGCAGCGAGCGTAGCCTGGACGAGACACAACACACGACATTCATGGGGCTCAGAATTTCCTGCAGGGTAGACGGAGAAAGGGCGCGAGAAGGGCAGGGAAGGGAAGAAGGGAGCTTTAAATGCGCGCGATGAGCGAGACGAAGAGAGATCGTATCGTCGTTCTGGCACGACACGAGGTCGCGAAGCAAACCGATTACGGCCGAAGTGTACCGAAGCTACACCAGGGTGGGGATCCGCAAGCGTTTCAGTATCTCCGCTCAGTAGAGCCAGCGCCGTCTCCGAGGTCGGAGTCGTGAATTCAAGAATACCCCGACGTCGTGGCAGAGAAACAAGAGAAAGAAAAAGAGGCGCTTGATAAAAGGCTCGTAATTAGACAGGTACGACTCGGTTTGACGTTGAAACGAAGAGAGGAGAAACGAACAAGGAAAACGGGACAACCGGAAGGAGAGATCGAAGCGCAGTTGGTGGTCGGGCAAGAGCAGAGCTTTGCGCCGTCTCTTGGCTCTTCTCCTCCGGATTGATTCCACGAGCGTCGTCGTTCGCGCATCACCATCGCGACGCGATCACGTCGCCCACGATCGCAACAACGACTATCGCGCTGCTCTCCGGAAAGTCCTGTCGCCGTCGTCGCCGTCGTCGCCGTAGTCGTGGCCGTCGTCGTCGTCGTCGTCGCGGTGCCGCCACTGCCGTCGACGCCATCGTCGCTGTTACCGTTGTTCTCGCCGCGGATACACGCTAGTGAAAATGCGGTAGTGACAGTGACAGATACGAAGAAGAGGAAGGACTCGGAATTTGTCAAGCAGCAGGGTAATTGTCATTATCGTCAATCGTGTCGCGCGAGAACCCCGTTCGTCGCGATTTGTCCTCGATCGGTGCCGGTTAAACGAGAACGAAGGAGAGAGAGAGACGGTGCTCTCCTCGGCGACCTAGCCGGAAGTTATGACGAGCTCGCGCTTCGTTCAAGGACGAAGAATTGTTCGCGCGCATGTGTCCAGTAGTGGGATATAGTGTCAACGACAAGTCGCCGCTTGCAGATCTGGATACCTTGCTGTCGACACCCGCCGGGCCTGGATTGTCTCATGTCAGGATGGCGCTGGCGCGGTACGTACACTCGTACGGCTCGCCGTTGTCGGAGCTAGGGTGGGTCTTCGTCCGTCCGGGGCTAAACCCGGGGGCAAGAGGGAGAGAGGGGGACGTTTGTCTGTTTGACCGGTACGCGGAGAGTAATCGCATCGATCCGCGAGCCGGTAGCGTCGAGCATGCGATGCCGACAAAAACGCCGCCTCCTCCCGAATTTCTCTTTCTTTGACAGCTTTGGTATCGGTTCGAATCCGCGATTCTTCGAAAAATTATTACTCCTAACCTTTAGGACAGCCCCCTCTTTGGAATAAACACGTAAACGAATGTCAAAACAAAAGATACGTGATGGCAAATTTTGGGAGGAGGAGGCGGCGGCGGCGGCTTTTAAATGAAATTTCAAGTTTTTTTCTTGTGATTTTTTCGCAAATCGCGCAATTGCTGCGAAATTTGAGAATCGACCAAGGCGCGACGGTCAACGACCGATCGTCCCTTCGATGATGATAGCGGTCAAGTATCGCAATGGTCATTAGTCATGTCCGTTCGTTCTTTTGTCCGTTCGGCGGTGCTCTCCCTGTGAGATCGTCGCGATTCGCGACTTTGCACTGGCTGACTGGAAAGTTCTTGGTCAAGTCGCGAGTGAAGGAGCGCGAATCAAGGTGAATATACCTTTTTACGTTAGACATCGACCTTCCTGAGGTCTGGCCTGATGTGGGCTTCGTCATGGCTCGGCGATCCTGCCTGCTTTCATATAGACACGTCCGACCGTGAACGTCGAGAACGCGCGACTCGTTGGAATTCGAATGTAGAAACGTTCCACCGGCCTGTTATCGTGCCTTCGTTCGTTCCTTCGTTCGCTTATTCGTTATTGTCGAGGCTTGCGAAGACGAGTACACTCGACGATCCGACGACGCTGTTGAATGTCGTCTGGACAAAAGACAACTTACCTTTTTTGCCGGATATTTACCAAATATCTTTTTATAAATTGACCGCTCGCCATCAATCACTTAGCGCCAAATATTTATCTCCAAATACACAAGTTTTAACTTGAAATTAATTTTAAACAATGAAAAACGTGTAGAAAGATATACTCTCTGCTTGAGATAAGACAATATTTGCAGAAATATATAGTTGCAGTTGAATAGTCGAAAGATTACGAGTGAGCTGTGCATTTAAATGCCAATTGTATAATGATTGAAATGTCACCAAAACATTTCACTCTTGTTCGCTCTTGTTCGCTCTTGACATTTTTTGTGTTGTAACATTTGTTTAATCGCTATATTTCATCAAGCTTCGTCAAAAATTTCACTGGAAAAATGTAGAGAAAGTATTTTCCACGCTCGTAACATGATATTGTTTGTATATCTTTCTGAAAAAGAAACGAATTTTGTGAAATTATTATATTTTCATTATCTATCTTTATCTTTATCAAATTATCAACATGAATTTTAAAAGTAAAATTCCTGTCCGCTGTCGAGTACATTCATAATAAACACACGTTTACAAATTATCTTTTCGCCCTAATCTCATGTATTATCAAATTTCAATTCGTGGAAATCGATTCAAACGTAATAACAATATTTACAGTTTCGTCGCTAGGATGATTTCAGCAGTTATTATTTCTTGTTCAAATATCTTTCTAGCTTCGAGGCTTGAGACTCAAAAACGATGAATCACGAGACTATAAACGGATTCTCAGACTACATTCCTGACTCTCACTGATCTATGATTTAACCATCGCAATTTCAGCAATTTATTTTTAAGACCTATAACGAATGCCCTTGACACTGCTATTCCCTTTCTGCGAAAATACGGAAATTGTTACGGCTATTTCGTTCGCTCATTTTTACCAAGCTCATTTACCAATTATCCTCTATAGCAAAATTCATAAATAACCCCTAGAAATATATTTATAAACTTTGTAGCAACTCACACTGTTTCGTAAAGTTTGCATCAAACTTTGGCAACGCGTTTACTGATCAACTAAAATTCGCGATTAATTGAAAAATGAAAACTGAAGCGATAATTACGATATTCTACAAATAATTCATTTACAAAGTCCAGCCGAATTTAATTAAAAACTCAACTTTGTGCTAACAAAGTTCATTTAACATTTCGCGTTTGTCAGCGCTTGATTATTTCGAATTTAGAGCTTCGTTAAATTTTACCTTCGCTATTGAACTATCATTGCCCGATTAAAACATCCCGAATGTACTGATAAGCCTCATTTTAACGTGCGATTAAAATTCCCGTTCGCTAATTGCACCATTCGCGGTAGTGTTAGTCGCGGACGATAAAGAGATGATTAAGTATAATCTTCAACACCGGAAGTGCCATGTGCCAGGTATCGACTCGACAACCTCGGCATCTTTTACAACATTGTGCTGACTATTTGCGCGCGTTTTCGTTGCACTTTATCGCTCGCACGTAATTCCCATCCTCCGCGACCTTCGTGTTGAAGATTTATGGACGACTAGCCGAAGTATGCAGGTGCCTTCGGCCTGTTTATGTGTGTCGTCTGGCATTTCCATGTGTATTTAATCCTTCGACGACTCTTGAACACTTTTACTACCACATTACGCGAATGACACCTGTGATTCTCTGACGATTACGACACCTGCGTACACCAGCAGATGACTTTATTTTATAATTCGTATTTGTCGTTTGTTCGTTGATTATAGAGGATCTTCGCGAACAGTAAGACTCTAAATCGCACGCGGATGCGAATTTGCTACCGAGCAAATGCAGGATTTGCTATTTACTACATTTTAATAATAAACAAGATATTGAATCTCGTCGAAGAATCACATTGATGCGCCTTGTGTTACGAAAAGAGAATCATTCGTAGCGAAAACATGTTGCGGCAATATGTTCACGTTACACGTGCGCTTCACGAAGAATTATAACGATTTGTTCATCAATCATTTCGCAGCTGTCGCATTTATACTTCTGATTCTTATTTATTATTTTTATTATCGTTAGCAATTGATACGGAGAATTACCTTATCTGTTAGATAACGTTTTACATTTATTAAAATAGAAAACTGAATAGAGGAAAACTGAATTGAGGATTAATATGGGAATTAAAAATTAAAGTTAAAATATTCCGAGACGTCAAGATCGCTTGTCTAATAAATTACATTGAGTGAGAGTTAAAACACGGGTCACTTGCCTCCCACGCGTCCAATCAAGAGTTTATCCATATTTAAACTCGATAATAAAAGTTTACTTCGAATTCGATCTAATATTCAAGGTTTCGAATAATCCCACGTCTTTAATTTTAGAACTTACAAATTCTCTTCACGATATTTTATCGATAATCCACTGGGCTTTCTGTAATGTTATAAAATTTATTTATTCGCGCTTTATATAATTCTTGTATTTTTTACTTTTTTATCAATTTATATGTATGTCCGAAAATACTGTGAAGTTTTATAGATATCCATTTTTATTACATTCGAAACGATTTAAACGAAATATAATGGAATAATTGATTATTACGTTGCCGTTTCTACATTGAAAAGACAATTTAGACAATACTGATACTGCTCGTTTTCATTACATTTAAAACGCGATTGTCGATATGAATGAATAGTTAATTACTCGGTTTTTCATATAATTGTAATAAAAAAAAGAAAAATAAGTAGTGTTTGCCGGTAAAATAGAGGTACGCTCGGCTCGCTCGCGTTACGTTGAACGACGAATCGGAAAAGCTGCGGCCTTGCCTCGCGGTAATGTTATCGTTTGCGTCACAATATTTTCTCGTCAGCAGCGCGGAGCGTAAAGGTGGGAATGGCTTTGAATATCCTTTGTGCCTGTCGAACAGCTGGTCGTGCGCGCGATCATCAATATATGCGTTCATGTGTCCATCACACTACCACCACTAGTATCGCCGCGACATTGCTCATGTTGTACAATATCATAGTAGATTAAAACACCTGCCCGAATAACATCGATTACTGCTTTACTCGATCCCGTCACCTCGATTAACACGCGACGACGTTCCACTTCTGAACGAGTACGAGTATTAAATATAGTTGAAGGCTTTATTGACGAACCGCTTAGCAATGCAGATACCGAGAGTTTCGATAAACCGTATTCCAAAAATGTAATCGCGATTACTCTTCCTGTATATTTTTCAAGAATTTCAACGAAAGAATATAGGATGTTTTATCAGTCGTTCCTCGTTCACAATCCTAAAGACTCTGATAAATCTGACGATGGGAATAATGAGATTATTTTCAAGTGGCACTTTTTGGCAGCGATATAAATCTTTGCCGAATTCGCTCGTCGAGTCGGCATTAGCGACAGCTCGTCTTTATTAGTTTTTCGTCTGCGATTTCGGGGAATTATTTGAATATTATAGCCGTAACACGGGAGTCGAGGCCAATCGATGTCCGAGGCTCGATGAAATAAAGCCGAGTACAAAGGAAGAGAGGAAGGAGGAAGAGGAGGATGCGATGATGGTGGGAGCAGTGAAGCGCGGCGGAGGGAAGGATGGAAGGAAGGTTGTCCCTCGCGCGCGGTGGCAACCTTCGACTTCAAGGGTACAGGGCCGTACGTCCCTCTTGAGGGTTCGCTTCCCCTTTTCCGTAATGGATCACGATGAATTCCACGGAATTTAAAATCGACTCGCGTTAGGGAAAATTCTTTTCGTTTTTCTCCGCACCGAATCTCTTTTCGTTGAAAATTATAAAGTGGAAATTCATATGAAGGTAGTTTTTAATCGTGGAGATTCTTGGAAATTTTGCCATTTCAGTAATTCTACTAATTTATCTTCCAATGAACGTATTGAAGTTGTACTTTATTTCATTTAACACGCATATTTTAACGTTATTTTCATTTAAAATTTGATTTTAACACGATCAGAATTGTTTTCATACAGTTGTGCACTTTGTAGTAGCAAAATTCCATCACTCTAGCCTTATTATCTCGCTTACAATTCAGGACCAATAAAATTTATCATCATAATCGTGCGTTGTGTTCTATATTTTTGCGCGAACAATATAGATTGCAGTTTGTCTCGACTGTTTAAAACAATGCTCGCAATAATCTGAGCTTTT